CCTCAAGGTTAAGTAAGCATCCTCCAGGTGCAGAAAGGAGCAAGAAGCAAAACAAGTTATACTACAGTAAAGCCAGCTTGCATGGCTCCCAACAGTTTCTAATGCTCCTCGATGAACCGAAGAGCCAGCCAGCTCAGCCCCTGTCATGTTTGTGGCCTGGTTCAAAAACAGGAGCTGAGCCAAACATAGTCTTCTCCCAGTGATTTGCAGTTGAAACACAGAAAGACAGAGACAATTAGCTATGGAGAGCTGAGTTAAAAGGTCATTTAGACTCACATGTGGAGACCACTATTTGGGGCCAAAGGGAGGATGAGCAAACTTAGACGTCCAGGAGAGGGTAATAGAAAAGAACACAGAAGAGATGAGAGATACTATGCCTCATTCAGTTTACCTTAAATAATGGGAAATTACATAAGATGTACACATGGAAATACACACCGCCCAGACTGGGCCTCGTGGAGACCCCAACACTGCCTGCAACCCGAAATATGGTTCTGGATACACAGCCTTGCTATTGTAGTTCTAGTTACCTCATAGGCCTTAGTTTCTTATAGTCACCCTGCCTGTTTTCCTACTGCTCTCATCTAAACCCACTGTGCTCTATTCTTCTGCTTACTCATAACTCCTACTGATTCATAACGTTTGCTTACAGTTTCTGGATGTCCATTACTTCTGCTTACTCGCGGCCTACGCTCACCCCTGGTTTGTCACGTGTGCCTGTGTCTATCTTTTGGCCCTAGTGGGCACCGTTGACTCGCCTTACATTCAGTTTTCAAAAGACAGGCTCTCCGTGGTCTAACCTCTCACTATCTTCCCTTTTGCACACAATTCCAATGCCAGGCTACCTCGCAAGCCTCCCATGCCATCCACACGGCCAGAATGGAGGGTCTGTGTGACCTCTAGCTGATCCATGTTAAGAGACCTAGAAAAGGGGTCATAACCATGGTAACCGTCCTCAGACTTCCAAAAGTCAGGATGGGGGGGGGTGCACAGTAAAATTGGAGGACACGTGGCTTCATCTGTGTAGTGCTCCCACTAGTGAAAGGCACCAGGACCTTTTGCAATCTGTCCCCACATTTACTTCCTCCGTCTCACCTCTCTGCCCCTCCCCTTCCCTTCCTGCATCTTCATCGCAAGCTCCATCCCAAACCACATCCAGACACAACTGCCAGTTGTTCTCTGAATATGCAGTGTTCTCTGCATTTTCATGGTTCCCCTCCCTACTTTTCCTGAAATCGTACTGCTCCATCTCATCGTCCTGATGAAAATCAAGTCTTGACTCCCTGGGAAGTCTTATCCATGCCAATCACCACCTACAAATTGAAGACTTCCCGGATCTACCAATCTGGGCAACAGGCTCCTCTCTTCTTAGTTCGGACCCATAGATCCAACTTCTAGCTGGACATTTCTGTCCAGACATCCCAGAACACGTCAACACGACATTTGTTTGTTTTGTTATGTTTTTTAGTTTCAAGTGTACAAAACAATGTAATAACTAGACATTTACACCCCTCACAAAGTAATAACCCCCCATCTATTGCCCCTCTGACATCATATATAGCTGTTACAATTCCACTGACTCTATTTCCTATGCTGTACTCCATATCCCGTGATTATATATATATTATAGTTGACATTCAATATTATTCAGCTTCTGCTTAAANATCAGTTCTGCTCGTTACTGGCCACCCTGACCTCTCTTCATCAGTGACACGTTCTCTCTCCTCAGAAAAACATTTAATCCATTTGTACACTGTCTTTCCTTCATGACATTATCTTCATAAACTTGGACTAACGTGTCCCTGATTTCACTTCCACTTTTGCCAAGTTTAACAAGAAATTTAATGTTTGTTCATTGCTCTAATTCAAGCTCACACATTCTTGCAACGGCACACAAAAACATGCAACGACAATAAGGAATGCCACTCAGCGAGACACCGTCACACGTTAACATGAACACAGCTGTGAGACACTGATATACCAAGGTTCTGAAACCTCACTGAGCTGTTTGTACAGTGCTGCCAATGTAAGCACACGGTGGCAAGTTCGCGAACTTAACTATCAGATCTCAAATACATACATATTCGTATATTCATTCTGGGTGATTTGCAGTCTTTATAGTCTATGACTTTCTGAACGACTAGGATTAGAATCTATTGATAAAAGAAAGGTAAGACAGGCTTTTAGGAGGTTTTTATTTTTAAAAAGTTGTTACAGAAATATCTGCTTGACTGATTCTTCAATAGTTAACAGAAGCTTTAATAAAATGTCTCTGATAGGAAGCTTGAAAAAGTACACTAATTTCTTAGTCATTCTTACAGTTTATAACTCACTGCTTCACCATGTGGCTGGCACATACTACCTTTTGGTAGCTACATATCTCCATTTCTGAGTCAACCTTTGAAAATCTAAGAAAGCCAAAAGGAGTATGTCTGAGAACTAACATTACAGAAAACACTGTTGTTTAACCAACAGCTCAGAGCTCATGGCCTTTCTCATCCAGAGGAGGAAGAAGGGAACATAGCCCCTCATGAATGTGAGTCCTGGGAGAGGAAATACAGACAACTGGAGGGACAGAACATAGTTATGAAGGAGAGGCATGTAAGATCACTGGCCCAAAGCCCTGCTGGGTTCTGAGATGACTTTCTGGGCACATTACATTCCTGTCTCCTTATGTCTTTCCTTTCCACATTAACTACATAGGATCTTCGGCACTCAGTTCTTTGGAACAAGCCTTCATTGGACTTCCACAGAACCCCTAGACCTATCGTCTCATCTCACAGAGCATCAGGTACAACTGCTGAGTGGCTAAAAGAAGTAGGAGCACGACTGTGCCACGCCAGTGGGCTCTTCTGACAGTCAAGTCATAACTAGGAGGCATCAACTGGCTCAACAGCTCACAGTTGAACTTGTTTAGCTATTCCTGATTCTGGGTCACATTGGTTTGGGTAACTAAAATACTGGTCTTCCTCCTTCAAGGGCTGTAACAACTGAAAGAGGCCTCTTACCTAAGGTAAAGGACTCACCTCTGTCAGATCCAAGCAGGTAAAAACTCATTAGCAAGAGAAACTTCATCTGGATTTTAAGAAAGAGGGGACCCTGGTGTGGGGCCCCCAAGAGCCGTGAAGAAAAACTGAGCAGAAGCTCCCAATGCTGAGTCACAGCCTCTGGGAATTCTAGAACCTCAGAAACAACCCATGTTGGCTCACAATGGGTTGTGCTCTGAGGTTTTCATGTAACCCTTCAGGTAGGTTGGCTTTACAACAACCCACACCAAACTGTGCCAGTACAGGCTGTGTGTTTGCCACGTGCAAGATGGTGTCTCGGGGCTCTGCCCTATTTTTAAAAATCTTATTTCCAAAATAATATATGCTCTGTAATAAAATTTAAAAGCTCTCGACTCTCTTCTTAAAATATTCTTGACAGTAAGTTGTGACTGGCAGGTTATTTTCTATTTGGCTGTCTAAATTAGCCCTCTTGTGGCACTGTATCCCAGAAGGCTGACCTCTGTTGACTTGATCACATAACTGCTGGTTGGGTTTGGCTTCAGATTGGATTTAGCCAATGGCAGACTGGAGGAGGAAACACACACACACACACACACACACACACACACACACACAGTGATGGTGGAGGGTAGAGAGAGAACGACTTGTTCTTTCTATTCCCTTCCTACCACAGCAAGACATGCTGGGTCTTTCCATAATAAAGCTTCTGTGCGGTGTTTTCTCCTCCATGGCTCCAGCTCTCAGCTGTTTTCTGTCTCCTGCATCCTTAGGCCTAAGGATGATGATTTCTTGCAGTTGCTGAAATCTGGATGCCCCAACTTTCCTTTTTTTATTTCTCCTTAATCATGCCCACTTCCATAAATAGTCTTTTTCATGAAGGTCTATATCAATCATAGTTTTGGCAGGAAACAGGTAGCAAACTCAAATGCATACCTGAGGAGAGTGTATACGATGTGGGCACAGAAAAAAGATTAATGAGGGAATTGAAAGCTGTGCCTTGAGCTGTAACTTCTGTCTAGGGGGTAGCCAAGCTGAGGAGATGGACGCAGTGAGGCATCTACCTGGTAAAGAGCTGGAACTTTGGGGATATTGGGTGGCAGAGAGCCCCTAGCCTTCATCCACTTCTTCCCTTCTTGTCTCTCTTGGACCACTGTGTTACATGTACCATGGTGTGCTGGGTCTCAATAGATGTATTTATCATTTTTGTAATTATGTTTTGTTTTTTTTTTTAAAGATTTTTATTGGGGAATTGGGGGGATGGGAACAGCACTGGGGAATTGGGGGAAGGGGAACAGACAAGTTGCTGTCCTTTTGTTCTTCAGTCTAGTTGTGGAGGACGCTGCCTCACCGGCTCAAGCCGGCACCATCATTGTGCTCTTCCCGGGAGAGGCAGATCAGTCGCCGGCTTTTGATGGCCACTCACGCTGGCTGCTGGCTACACACAGCAGCCCATGGCAACCCACTGCAGCAGTGGCTGCAGCCTATGCTGTCACCGGCGACTCATGGCAGCCCAGCTCCAGGTTGAGTTGTTGCCCAGCATCCTAGCTTTGGAGGGCAGCGCCACCAGCCCTCATATGTGGGATCCGAACCGGGACCCTGTGGCATCCCAAGCCAGCTCCCAACCACCACGCCACTCGGCCGGCCCTGTAATTATGTTTGATGTCTCCCTCATTAGACTCTAAGTTCCTGGAAAGCAGGGTCCCTGTCTGGCTTGGTCACTGTTGTATTCCCAGGACCTAGCAGCATGTTTGCCACATAATAGGTACATAATAAAATTTTCCTGAATGCAGGAAGGAATAAATTGCCTTGTCTGGGCCTCTCTCTGCCTCATAGGTGAGAGTGGGCTGGCGGAAGATTCTGGGTCAGATGGAGACAGCAGGATCACCAAGGGTTAAAAGCTGCAGAGGAGACCCACTCTACTTGGCTTGAGTTATAGGTCAAAACTAGGGTTTCTAGGTCTGAGGCTGGGCTACTTTGGAGTAGAGAAAAGCATGAAAAAGCATGCTGTCAATAGTTCCTTTCCTTCATGTGGAGTGAGTTTGGAGAAACAGCTATGGGATCACATTGAGTCAGACTTGTTGATAGAAGCAGTGGAAATTGGTGGAAAGGAAGAGGTGCTATCAATACCACCCACTGGTTGTTTAAAGTTTGGCAGCACCACTCTTTGCAATTATCAGACCTTTCTGGGACTTCCATGCCTCACCCCTCGCCAGAGTTAGGGTACCGAGAGAAAGGACCGTAAAATCTGAACATTCTCTCCTTAAACTGCATCCTCCAACTTTTTCCTCCCTCTTTTCTAAGGTTGGCTTTGCAGGATTATATCCCAGACTCATGCAGGCTGGCTTTCCCCGGGTTCTGTTCTGGAAACCTCTTCCCTGTATCCAGCAGTCTGGCACTTCGAAGCCAAACCTGTGAGTACCTGAGCACACCACATAAGAAAACATGGCGATGGAGAAGTCACTGTGGAACTTGACGAATTCTGGAGCTAAGACAGCCAGAGGTGATCCAGCCCCTGCCTCCTTCCTCTGCTAATCTCTTTCATCCTAGATGATTAATGTTTCAGTTTTGCCGGGGTCCTGCCTCGGCGTTCCAGTGAACAGTACCTGAAGTGGGGGGCGAGGTTTAAGGAAAAAAAGAGACAAAGAG